CTCGCGGCGCGACGCCTACAGAATGCACCGCTTTTCCGTGGAGTGCTTTTCCAAGATCGCCGACGGGGGGGCCTCCGTGGGGGCGCCGCCGAGGGTAGGGCTCTGCAGACTGATTCCGAGAGTCGCTCTGTCTCTGTCGCACCTAGACGCGACGCCCCATGAGTGCGAGAGAGACAGAGCGACGAGAACGGCTCTCGGAATCAGTCTGCTGGGAGGGGCTGCTGGCCGCCGCGACGGCCGCGATGGTCGCTCTCCGCGGAGAAGAGGGTCGAGAAGAAGAGGGTGGAGACCGCCGCACAGTGGGCCAGAAGACCGGTGGAGGTGACCAAAACTCTAGACGCGTTTTGAGCTCCAGAGTCGCTAAATGGGACTCGAATCGAACGTGTGACCCCACCAGTAGATTGCTCTCAGAACGAGGAGTCCATTGGTGGGGTCACGCGTTCGGTTCGAGCCCTGTTTACCGACTCTGGAGCTCAAAACGCGTCTTGAGTTTTGTCCGCCTCCACTGGTCTTCTGGCCCACTGTGCGCCGCCACACCCGCAGGGGCGCAGGGCCGCAGCACCCATTTTATCGAAAGTGTAATCGCCCTGCCCCCGAGTAGCCCGAGTAGCCGGGCGCTGATTTACTCTGTTTTCGCCTTCGCCGTTTGCGGGGGAATTTATAAGGGATCGCGCCGGCCTGGGGGTCTTTGATGGGGCGCTCGCCGCGCTAGGGCTGCTGCAGCACACTGACTCCGAGAGTCGTTCTCGTCGCTCTGCTTCCCTCGCACTTACGGGGCGTCCCACACGGGTGCGAGAGGGACAGAGCGACGAAAACGACTCTCGGAATCAGTCTGCTGGGGGCTGCTCCGGGTGGTGAACTGAACGGGCCCTTCATTAGGGGAAGTGATTAGACAGGGGGCAGGGCGGGCACCCACCGGCAGGGCAGTCTGGGGAATGGAATAAATTAGTCCGTACACAACTTGTTGAATTAGGCACGCGGGGTGGCGGCGCCGTTAACGGGGTCATCGCACAAGCGACTTGGCCTTCCCGCCCACGCTTTCAATTTGGTCCTCGTCGAACGCTGGTCGCCAGCGCCGTGGGTTGCCACCCTGTGCCGGCGAGCGCACAGTGGGCCAGAAGACCGGTGGAGGTGGACAAAACTTAAGACGCGTTTTGAGCTCCAGAGTCGCTAAATGGGACTCGAACCGAACGTGTGACCTCACCAATGGATTGATATCCGCACGAGGAATCCATTGGTGGGGTCACACGTTCGGTTCGAGTCCCATTTAGCGACTCTGGAGCTCAAAACGCGTCTTGAGTTTTGTCCGCCTCCACCGTCTTCTGGCCCACTGTGGAGCGGTCCAGCAGCGTTGTCTCGCCACTCTGTCTCTGTCGCACTCGTGGTGCCCTTCGTAAGGGTGCGAGAGAGACGGAGCGACTCGCTGCTCTTCCGATTCGCTCGGCCGTTCTGCCCTCGACGCTGCAGTTCCTCTCCCCTTGATGCTCCCTTTACGACCCTTGACCTCGCGGCTAAGCGTCCCGACCCCTCGCCTTTCTTTGCACATCTTGCTTCCGGCGCCTCTCCCTCTCGGTCTCTTTCTCGTTCTAGGAGGGAGGGTCCCTCTTTGTTCCACTCGAACCCCTTACATTGCAGCCCCGTCACCAGCCTTTCCATCAGCGTAGTTGCCGCACAGTGGGCCGGAAGACCGATGGTGGAGGCGACCAAAATTCTAGACGTGGTTTGAGCTCCAGAGTCGCTGGGACTCGAACCGAACGTGTGACCCCCCCCCCCCCACTAATGGATTGCTCTCCGAACGAGGAATCCATTAGTGAACTCACACGCTCGGTTCGAGTCCTGCTTAGCGACTCTGGAGCTCAAAACCGCGTCTGGAACTTTTGCCGTCGGCGCGGGTCTTCCGGCCCACTGTGCGCCGCCGCGGCGCTAGTGTCACTTTCGCCGATATTTAGCAGCACGCGGTGGTATTGAACTGCCACACGATGGCGGCCGCGGAAGCCGTCCCGGAGAGTCGCTCTGTCTCGCTCACACCCCCGCGGGCCGCACCACGAGTGCGACAGAGACAGAGCGATCTTCGGAATCAGTGGGCCGCCGCCATCCCTGGAGCCTCCGCCAGCCCCGGGCAAGCAGGCCGTGCCGCAAGCAGCGCGGCTGCGTAAAACTGCCCCGCCGCGCCCGGCTTACATCCGCCCCGTAAATCTTAATCAAGGCCGCGTTAGAGCGCCGGGGCTGGCCGGGGCGCGGCGTGCGGCGGCGAGAGAGTGAGACAGACATCGCACGCGCGCAAGGAGAGAGAGTGAGAGAGACAGAGACGGAGAGAGCCGCCAAAGGATTATTGCAAGGGCTGTTATTTTCGGGCTCAAGCTGGCGGCGGCGGCTTCTCGAGTGCTTCGAGTACCGTCCATTGATTGCCGTTCGTGTGGAAAGACAATGACGTGCGCTCATCCTCTCTCTCTCTCCCCTCATTCTCTCTCTCTCTCTCTCTCTCTCTCTCTCTCCCTCTCTCTCTCTCGCGCTCTCTCTCTCTCTCTCTCTCCCTCCCTCTCTCCCTCTCTCTCCCTCTCCCTCTCTCTCTCCCGCGAGTGTAATCGCGTCTAGGAGCGTGCCGCGCGAATTGAGACGTGACGTGCCGCTCAGACATTGCCGGCGCCGGAGGAGAGGGGGCGGAGGGGAAGGGAGGGGAGGGAGAAGGGCAGGAGGGGAGGGGAGGGATGGGAACAGGCGCCACCAGGCGCACGGCTGGCGGCTTGGCCGCGCCGCTGCGCCGGGCACGACGGCATGGCGTCGGTCAGCCCGTTGGCGGCGTTGCCCCGGGCAGTCCGTGTCATTCACGTTGCTAATTGTTGCCGTATTTATGAGCGAGCCACAGCGAGTCCCGTGCCGCGTCGGCCGTGTCGGACTGTGGGGGGTCCGGCCCCGCCCCGCCACAGGGACACTGCGTGCGGTTTGGTCCGTGCCTTCACTTTCACGACCGAGAGGCCGACGCGCGGCCAAGGCTGCGGTCGTGCGTTATTCCTAAAACGTGGTGTCCTCCCGGAAGTGGCTCGGTACGCTCGCGTCACTGCACAGTGGGCCAGAAGACCGGTGGAGGCGGCCAAAACTCTAGACGCGTTTTGAGCTCCAGAGTCGCTGAACAAGACTGGAACCGAACGTTGGGAGAGCAATCCATTGGTGGGGTCACACGTTCGGTTCGAGCCCCATTCAGCGACTCTGGAGCTCAAAACGCGCCAAGAGTTTTGGCCGCCTCCAGCGGTCTTCTGGCCCACTGTGCACTGCAAGCGGACTCCGAACGGTGCTGGCGCTGGCAGTTCGGAAGCCCAAATTCCGATTGCAATCGAGTGGTCAGGGCGGTGCGCGGGATGCGTTGAGTTCGGATTCAGATTAGAGTTCACCTTATCGGTTCAGACGATTGCCCTTTTCAACTCATTGTTCATTCGGCGTGTTCTCTTTGTGCATCTCGATGAGGTGCGCGCCGAGGCACCGCGGGCGGAGACCTGCTGCACGTCATACACCGCGTGTCCGAGAGTCCGAGCCGAGCGCGGCCGAGTCGCACCCTGGTCGCACCAGCGGCGCCGAGCCGGGGCTTGGGTACACAGGGTGTCGTGATGGATGTCGTGGCTGCGAGGCTGTGTGCACGGTATTTTAATCGATTGACGCGTGTCATGGGCACGACCTCCCCCCCCCCCCTTTTTCCTCTCTCTCTGTCTCTCTCTCTCTTTCCCTCTTCCTCTCTCTCATCTCTCTCCCCCCCCCCTCTCTCTCTCTCTGCCCCCTTCCTTCGCTGCAGCCTTCGGGCGGGTCAACACTGCACCCCGTCCCCCGCAGTCCCACGGTCCATGTGCCGCGCGAAATGGATGCACACATCGTGCCGTGGGTACTCCTGCCGGCCCCGGGGCGTTGGCTGGCTGCCTGCCTGCCTGCCCGGCTGGTGCGGGTGGTGCTGCAGACTGATTCCGAGAGTCACTTTCGTCGCTCTGTCTCTCTCGCACCTTTAGGGGACGCCCCATGAGTGCGAGGGAGACAGAGCGACGAGAACGCCTCTCGGAATTAGTCTGCTGGCGGTACGACGGGGCCGCTCGGTCCATTGAAGGCGTTGCGTTTCTCTTTGGCGTTGACAATTCGCCAATTACTACGGTCTATACGGTCGAAGGAAATCGTTATTGCGCTGCGTTCGTCCGTCCGTCCGTCCGTCACACCCTGCCTGGCGGGCACGCATGAACCGCGATGCATGGAAACAGAGAGAGAGGAGAGAGATATGAAATATTTTGGCTATTTCAGGCGGCGTCAACCCTCACAAAGGGAAGCCCTTCAAAAGATGACCAGTAGAGGCCCTTTGCAAGGGAATGAGTGAACTCTGGACGTTTGTCGGAAACGGCACCGACGAGCGGCGAGCGCCAAGTTCTTCCTCCATGGCTCGGCCTGCTCGGGCCGACATGTCGCCCTCTGATTGTGATTGCGAAACCGCACCGGCCGGCACACTGTAACGGCGAGATAACGGGAGCGCTGCAGTGGTGCAGCTGCAGTGGTGCAGCACCGTGCACACGGTCAAGGTATTGAGGTTAGCGACGTGGCAGACGGCTGACCTCAGCGCGCCGTGCCTCGCCGTGCCGTGCCATGCCGCGCGCCCCGACGGAAGCGGAAAAGTTGAGGGAACCGATTTGCAGTGTGCTGACAGGGTGGCCGGCTGGCCCGTGGCTCCACAGCCGCGTGTCCGATATTCGCGTTTGTGGTTTTCATGGTCATTAAAAATTGCCTTGAAACAAGTTAGACCATTTTGAAAGCACTGTAGAAATCTGTGTTGTTGTTTTGTATCGTGCAAACTTTCAGAATTTTGCGCTTTTTTGACACAAGATTTGGCCCCTTTTTTTGTTGTTCCGCCGCACGATTCTGTGCCACAATCCTTCCGGAAATCATGAAGAAAAGGCGCCAATACCTGCGAAAATTTGCACGACTATAGTACGATTCCGTAGAATGGTTGGTGACCGGTTCGTTTTTGCCCGCAGCCCGACGGGGAGTCTCAGAACCACATCTTCCGAGCCAAAGTCTTCAAGAAGCCGCGACCATGCCACCTGTGTCACCAGCCCATCCACCAACTCGGCAGCTGCTGCAGAGGTAACATTCGGATATATAAAAAAAATATGTATAAGTAATCTTTTTCTCTGAAGTTTTCTTTTTTCGCGTGAAACTAACGGTGGCTCCGCGCACGACTATTTGCAATTAATCAATTGGTTATAGTTGCTGTTTATCCAAACGGCCAATAAGAGAAATAAAACGGCAACTTTTGGGCCATTTCATTTGCATTTGAATCCACGTGTTGACGGGGACTCTAATCGAATTCCGTCTTGCTGCCAGCTTCGCTCGCTCCGCCGACAGCGAAGCCCGCGAAGTGAGATGGTGTTCTCTAGTTTGGCCACTTCACTGCCAACTTTGGCGCCTCTAGCGCCGCTCGTGCGTACTGTTAGCCGAGCCGCGTATCACCTGACAAGTTGGGAACGTCGCACAGTGGGCCAGAAGACCGGTGGAGGCGGTCAAAATCCCGGACGCGTTTTGAGCTGCAGAGTCGCTAAATGGTACTCGAAACGAGCGTGTGACCCCACCAATGGATTGCTCTCCGGACGAGGAATCCATTGGTCGGGTCACAAGCGGGATTCGAGTCCTGTTGAGCGACTCTGGAGCTCAAAACGAGTCTGGAGTTTTGGCCGCCTCCGCCGGTCTTCTGCCCCACAGTGTTGGCCCGTCCGTCACGAATTGGTTCTTTGTTGCAGTGTGCAAATACGTGTGCCACAAGGCGTGCGAGACCAAGGTAAGTGCAGCTCGTAAAAGGGCCAGACCCGCAGTGCAGCTGTGGCCGCCAGACCGGCAAGCGGTGATTATTAAGCAAATAAACGCATTGATGGCGCTTTGAACCGCGCGCCCGAAGCGCGGTGTAATCGTCTTGGCTTGGTTGCTCGGCTGGACAATGTGGGAGGAACTTATGAACACCTGGAGGAACAATTACACCGCCGTCGCTGGACTGGATCCAAACATGGTAATTTATTTTCAAGATCTGCCCAGGCGCTCCTAGCCAATTACCTTTATCAGATGATACTCGGAGCTATTTTTTCCGGTGCGGTATCTCATGCCGTTCGGTTTAGTGCCAACTGAGATTAGAACTTACATGCATGGACTCACACAGTGGGACGGCGACAAAAAAAATCCATTCACTCGGATTCACTCAACCTAACCTAACCTACGGCAATGTAAATCAAGAACAAAAAGTACAGTACACTCAAACACGTGCGCCAAGTCACGTGGCAACGCGGTTGAAATTTGAAACACTCAGGTTGTGCTGGACAAGCCTGATGTTTGCGCATCGACCGCTGCTGTGAACTCATCCATGGCTGCTCTCTGCTGTGATTCCCCTCGAAATTGTACACGAGATGAGACGGCGTAACCCCGGGCTGCTTGGACCTATTGGCTCTGGCTGAGTGTGTGCTCAGCAGAGGCCGGTGCCGAGCGGCGCTCTCGTCGCTCTGTCTCTCTCGCACCCCCTACGGAACACTAGACGAGTGCGAGAGAGACAGAGCGACGACAGCAGCGTTCGGAATCGGCCTGCAGCCCGCCGCCCACTCCAAGCAGGCCGACCGCTCGGCCCACCCTGAGCGAGGCAAATACTCGTTGTAGGCCGAGCCGCGTCGACTGAATCCGGGAGTCGTTTTCGTCGCTCTGTCTCTCTCGCACTCGCGGGGGAACCCGTACAAGCGCGAGAGAGACAGAGCGACGAAAACGACTCTCAGCATCAGTCTGTTGGGGCCGGGGGCGCCTCCGGAGGCAATTAGCATAGATCAAGAAATGCATCGACCGTTTTGTTTCCTCAAGGGGTCCTCTGCGTTCCAGGATGCCTCCAGGATGGTTCCAGGAGGAGGAGGGGCCTCAAAAATGCGTGGCTCCAGCGCGCTATTGGTGTAGCTGGAATTCATTACCGGGGGAAAAGGGGGGGGGGGTGCGAAGACGGACTGCCCTAGTGGGAAATGCCGCCTCGCCGCTGCATCCCGTGCGGCATGCCAATGGCCTTGTCTGAGCAGAGGAGGACGCTCCGTGCAATAATAACGTAACGCTGTTTTGTCTGTCACGCGCCTTCGGAACGCCCCGCGAGAGTGAGAAAGAGAGACAGAGAGATTTTGCAGTTTTTATAATGTTTTATGTGGGAGAGTGAGTTAGTTATTGAATGTGTGATTGAGTGAGAGAGAGAGAGAGAGAGAGAGAGAGAGAGAGAGAGAGAGAGAGAGACAGAGAGAGAGAGAGAGAGAGAGATTGAGGGGTGTATGTGTCTCTGTCGCGCCTTGGGGGAATTCCCCGCTCTCCCCGCGAGGACTGCCTGCCTGCCGATGATACACAGGTAGTCAATTAAGACGGCGGGGGCATCAGCCTTTCGCTGGCACTGCAAGGCACTGCACTGCAGGCCGAGTGATTGACGCTATCTCTCTCGCACTGGTGGCGCTGCGCCGAGCTGCGCGGGGCTGAGGCACTGTGGGATTAGCGTCGCCGTGAAGCGACACTGATAACCGTGCGCCACGCCCAGCCCAGCGTCTCTCTCTCGCACTCGAGGGGCATTACGTGGGAGAGAGAGAGAGAGAGAGAGAGAGAGAGAGAGAGAGAGAGAGAGAGAGAGAGAGAGAGAGAGAGGTGACTCGGGGAACTGGCGACGTTGAACGCGTTCGGTGCCTCGCATGGCGCTCTAAGCTCTCTGCCAATGCTGACATGCTTCCTCAAGCTTGCCAACGTACACACACTGGAGTTTGTAGCGTAGTCGGCACCTATATTCCTTCTAGTCCTTCCACTTGGGTCAGGCTAGGTTCGGTTCCAGATGTGCCGCGTCCCAGTGACCGCCGTAAAGCGGACAGAAATAGCGCGGCCGGAACTCGGGCGTGTGATAAGCTAGGTGCGTTGTGTGTGTGTGTGTGTGTGTGTGTGAACGACTGTGTGCACCACCGCATGACGGTCAAGCTTGCGGTTCGTTCTTGTTCAAACGCGGCGTGTGTGTGCGTGTGTGTGTGAGTGTGTGTTTGTCAATCTGGCTCAAGGTTTGCGGTGTGTGTGTGTGGTGCCGATGGTCAGCGGGTACGTGTAGCACGGGGCAGTTACGCCCTTAGCACCGCCCCCTCCCCCCTCCGCCCTGCAGGCCGCACGCCGTGTCAACGCGACGTAACCCAATGCCGGTGCAGGACGACGACTGTGCGCGACTGTACGCGCTGCGGCCGCCGAGCCAAGGGCCGGGCTGTGTCCTGCCGTGCAGTGCCGTGCCATGCCGTGCCGTGCCGTGCCCTGCCGTGCCCTGCCGTGCCCTGCCCCGTTCGTTCCCTCGGTTCCCTTTGCTCGTCGCGACGTCGCCGCCTCGCGCCCCGCGAAACCCAATATTCACCTTGATTCCTTCCCCCTCCACCGCAACGTTCCCGTTAGCGGGGCAGACCGGTGCGCAACGACACTGCAAGTGTGTGTGTGTGAGAGAGAGAGAGATTGAGAGAGAGAGAGAGAGAGAGAGAAGGAGAGAGTTTCCGCCAACGAGGTGTCGTAGTCGCCCCGAGCACGCGATCGAGGCAGGTCGATCCCCAATCGCGACCGAAGCGAATGCTCTATAGTGGCGGTGGCGGGGCGGGATAGGACACTCGAACGCATGGCGGGGTTGGGGTGGGGCGGCAGAGAGGGCCGCGCGCACCGCGTGTGTGCACCAGCTCAAAGGGTAATGGATAGCCGGGGATGGCGTCAAAGACAAAGAGGACCACGATGACGACGACGGCGGGGGCTCCGTGCCCCGCCCTGCCCCGCCCCGCCACGCCCACGTGAAGCGTTATTGATTATGGACGCTTGCATGATTACATCTCGCGCTTGTGTGTGTGTGTGGTGTGTGTGTGTGTGTTGCGCTCTGGGCACTCATCTTCGCCTGCTGGAGCCTCTACGACGGGAAGGGGCGGGGCGGGGCGGCGCGTGGGACGGCGCACTAATATCTGCCATTACGCCCTCCTCTATGTGGGCCTAGTTCCTGCAGACTGATTCCGAGAGTCGCTTTCGTCGCTGTCTCTCTCGCACCCTCACGGCACGCCCTGTGCGTGCGAGAGAGACAGAGCGACGAAAGCGACACTTGGAGTCAGTCTGCTGGCCGAGTCCGCGATCTACGGGACAGTGCAGGACAGTGCATGGCCGGCCGGCCTGCTCGTCCCCGGACGAGGGACGCGCGGGGAGGGCGGGCGGCGCGGGGTATCGCCGCGCTGCTTGCCGCGGCCGCCGCCAGAGCGCGCCGCCAGGCCGGCGCGCGGAGCGTGGGGTATCGCCGCGACCCGCCGGGCCCGGCGCGCGGTGCGGCGGCGCAGCGAGCGGCGAGGGCCTCGGCGACGGGCGGACGGGACGAGTCTCGCCGGAGCCGGTACCGCGACCGGGCCTTGGAGGCCTCGCCGCGGAGGCGCACGCTGCACGCTGCAGCAGGCGCGCGACTGCGTGTCCGCCGCGGAGGTCCGCGCGTGTCGCCGCGTCCGCGTGCTTGGCGCGGCGTCAAGCAGCATCCCGGCCTTGGCCACCACCTCGCGGCCAGATCGCCGCCAGATCGCGGTCCCCCCCTCCACCGCGTCGCGCCGGTCGCGGGCGCGCGGAGGCCGGCCGGGTGGGCCGGTGTGTTTTGCTTACCGCCAGTGCTATGTGATGCCGGCGGGGAGGCGGGCCGCGCCGGCCTAGCCTACCCTGCTGCTTCGCGGCTCCGCTCCGCGCTCCGCGGCCGCGCGTCGCCGCGCTTCGGACGCGTGTGAAAAAGTGACAGTGTCTCGATTGGATTACCCACCGGCATGGCCAGCGAGGCGGCCGTGGCCTCGGCCTCGGCGAAGGTACAGTAGGGGTTCTCGCGCCTCGCCGCCACCGCCACCCCCTGTGCACCTCGGGGACCGTCAGGGACTGGGTTCAGTGCGCCTTGCAGTGACGTGACGGTTGCGAAAAATGGTAATATCGTTTCGAACGCGAGGTCGCGGAGTGGCTGTACGACGCCAAGGCAGCGCGGCGCGGCGGAGCGGCGGACTTGACCCGTCGGCGAAGTGGCGCCAAAAAGCGCGCCCGCCGGGCCGGCTGGGCCTGCTGGCTGATGACATAAGCCGCGCCGCCGCCGGCCAAGTCTTGCGGGGCTTTGGGTCGGGTCGGTACCAGCGGGTACCGGCGGCGCCACGGGCTGACTGTACACTGCACGAGCCGAGGCACTACCGGTGTCACACCGCCGATGGAATGCTCGCTGTCTGCAGTGTGCCTGCAACCGTGCCTGCACCGCCAGCGCGGCCTGCTGGGTAATTACGGTACTAAACGGTACTAGGGGGCCGCGGTGTAGGGCCCGCCGGGGCTTGATTTGTGTGTCAGCCTCGCCGCGCCCCGCCGCGCCCCGCCCCGCGCACCGAAGCCACAGCAGGAATAATGTTTAGGCTGTAATTGTGGTCAGAAATCAATTCCTTACGAACGAAAAAGACACACACACACACACAGACAAACGGCTCAATAACGACCGCCAAGGGAAACGTTACTCGCGTCATTGTCTGATGCAGGTCCTTGTTTGGGTAACGCCCCTTCTGGTCCTGGCCGGCAGACCGATTCGGAGAGTCGCTTTCGTCGCTCTGTCTCTCTCGCACTCACGGTGCGTCCCGTGTTGGTGCGAGAGAGACAGAGCGACGACTCTCGGAGTGGGTCCGCTGGCCGCGGCCCGCCAAACGCGGCGAGAGCTTATCGTAAGTGCAGTGGACGCGCTGCGCGGTGCGCCCCGCGATGCGGCCGATGCAGCGCGGACCGGCCTGCATGATG